TCTCTCTCTCTCTCTCTCTCCCGAGTATCATATATCATATTAATATATTTATTAATAATTTAATTAAATGTTTGCTACAATTATACTGAAGATGAGGCTTATGAGACATTCTGCACACAAAACCTGTCAAAGAATTAATCTCTCTCTCTCTCTCTCTCTCTCTCTCTCCGTAGACTCACTCACTCACAGACTCACTCCACTATTTATGGTAAACAGCAGTTCCCATAAAATTATATCTCAATATTATTGAGCCATTTTTTATGCCATAATATTTATAATCAAACTTATGTTTTGTTAGATTATCGCTAATTTTGTGAATACGCGATATAAGTGTCACTTATGTCTCGCAACTCAAGTACTTTGATTTTTAATCTAAACTTTATTTTCAATTAGGATTTGTGTGAGAAAATACCGATTCTCACATCGTTTCATTTGAATAATTGTTTAATTAATTTTTAGTACTATTACATCTAGTATACTATAATTTATAATAAAATAATATGTTATCATTGATAATGAAATGAATAAAACAAATAACATTTTTGCCGTCAATAACATAATTATTAAGCTGAAATCAAATATAAATACATCTATTGGTCTCTCATATACTCAATAAGTTGGAAGAGTTGGAGAATTGATGGGAAATTTGAAGCACAAAAGTCTCATTTTTCTGACTCCATTTCCTATTGAATACAATTGATTGCATGCATTGACTGTTTGTTTAGGAAAACTGCAATTTCCTGCAAACGATGGACTGAAGGAAATGTGAGACCACATGAAAAGTGGCCGAAGAAAGGATTCAATCGATTTGGTACTGCTTTTCATTGTTAACAACTCTGACATAAATATAAACTTACAATTCGTTTACAATTTGGACACAAAAAGACCAAAACCTACGAAACGCCGATTCCGTTGAATTAAACATCGGTTACAGAAATAATAGATTGCATTAAATGTCTGAATACGCGGGCCAATGTGTGTCCCATATTTACTATATATATGCCTAATATTATTATTATTTAGAAACACATATTTTTGATTATTAGTTGTGGTGGTAAACCTGTCTCCACAATTCATTGGCTAACACTCGACAATAGTAAGCCATGGTATCTGCATATGAATCTATGCACTGGTATTGTAATAGTTTGAAACTTATTGAAAAGGCGTGATTTAGTGTTGGCTTTAGTTGTGAACCGATTCTAATGACAGACAAACGGCAAGGCATCAGAAAAAGGGCACAATATCTATAAAGTGTGTAAATTGTTATTTTAAAGGCAATCCTATAATTATTTGATAAGATTCGTGACTATTGGGCAGTACTGGTCTCATGGCCTCCATCTCCCCCTCAATGGCTTTGTCTGTGCTATGATTGTTGAGATACTCAGTGCTCAGTGTCTGCATAGACTGATAGCGGAAATATGGTATCATTTAGTTGTGTTGAAGTCTAATTTAAATGCAAGTAATGCACAATCAGTACAAACATTACCAATAATTTGAGTGAAGCCGACAACAAATCATACAATTGGTTGACTCGTGTCTGGCATCGAGTGCTGGCATATAATCGCAGCCAAACTTTTATCCAAATCTCTTATCGTACGATCGCAAAGCCCATCAAACAATACAATTGAAGCTTATTTTATGGAAATTTTCACTTTGATATGCATTTGCTATGTCTTATGCATAAGAGTTGTATCACTTAAGTGGGCGTCTCTTTAGGACCTATTCTTTTGGACTTTTTGTGTTATTTCTCTTTATATTCTTCTCTTGAGTTTAATTTAGGAAAATGTTTTCGTCTAATGTTTGTGGGCGTTGTTGCCATCAAATTGCAAAATAAGCATTAGCTTAGGTATCGGTGCTTTCCATCTCGTTAGTCATTTATGCACAACTCGTATGAGATGTGTTGTACAATATGTTGACAAATGAGCCAAAATAGAGTTGAGTTTTTAACTTGAATTTCAATCAAATTAATATTTAGTGCTTCACATCCAGGATGTGGTCATTTGCCAAACATATCTATTGTTATCTTTAATATTACTTACATATTATAGCCGTTTCCACCAAATTTGCACAAAAAAGTACTTATAGGCGTACAAAAGCATTGCTGTCTTTTCAATGCATAACTAGAGTTAAATTATTGCAAAAATACATTAGTTTTTGTCGATCTATACAACACACAAAACAATACAAACAAATGTTTGACATTTTTTATATTTATATAGAAAACATAAATGTTCATCCTTTTTACAATAGTCTGTAATTATACGATTAGATTACAAATAATGATTTTATGATTTTGATATTTATTTATAAATTATAAAGTTTAATGTTTTTGTTTTTTTTGTAATTTATTAAATATTTTTTCCAATAAATATTTTCTTATATATTATTCTTAAAATTATGATTACGATAATTAGTTTATAAGCAATTTAATTAGCTCAATAATTAGTGTTTCTAATGTTTTACAAATAATTTAAACAATAATAACATTCAAAGATATTTCATTAAAATAAATGTCATTAAATGCAATAAAAGTTAAATTATGTTAAATAAGATACAAAATACAAGCAATGAACGATTATATATACAAATGTCTAAATGTATTTCACAAATATTTCTGTCAACTAAATGTTAAACCGATAAAACGAAAGGAAAGACTGTTTGTAAAGAAGTTTTAGTCGGCTTTACATTACAGCTGAATAATCATTAAAAAAGCAAATGTGAACACAAGTTAACTATATTTGGCATATGTTTGTGGCGTTAATCACAGTTGGGGTTCATTACAATCACAAGTGATTTATACGAATTGACACATTAATGATGCCTTTCGCTAATCGACTGAAAACACAATACAAATACAATACTTACTCCTCTTTTATTAATACAACACTCGTATTCTCACCAAAAACTTGGGTTTCAAATGTGTTTAAAAACTTTAAAACCTTTAAAAAGTGACCATTTTTTATATTTAAAACTTTTACGCTTTTATAGTCAATTAGACCTCAAGTTTTTGGCTTTTATATAGAATTTTCTCTCTCTTTATATATAAACTCAAAGAATGTATTGTTTGAGAAACAGTTAAGAATTTGCTTGATTTGAGTCAATGAATAGCTCACACCTGGGCTTTATTCACAGAATCACAATATTCAATGAGAATGTATGCAAACTTGTCATACATATGACAAACCATGAAAACATATGTTTGCAGTTTCGCTAACTTTTCTATTGATTAAAAAATATTATATACAGTATTATACATAAAAGTCATACGAGAAGACAAATAGTAAAAGGGAGAGAAATATCAGACAATAAGCTGTTGTGAACGACTGGTGAGGGGAATAGGGGTTAGAAATTGACGGCAAGTTTTCACTGTTCACTGAATCACAAGAATCTTATCCAATGTTATAAAGCGTTGCAAACAGACGGCGCGACTGACGGCTATCTTTGCTCTTAAAACTTAGAGTTAAGTAAACTTTCTTACAATACAGCTATGATTGGCAATTGGGATACTTTCAAAGGGTTTTGTTTTACATTTTTCACATTTAACATGGCAATATCACTTGTTTAATATGGTTATCTATGTAGTTTCATTTACTATTGGTTATTGAAGTTTTTATAAACTCTTATCATTTAATTAATAAGAATTTGTAAATGTTAATTATATAAATTCATATAAATTATTTTATTTACTTGATTTATGTATACATTTAATAACATTTATAATCATTTTATAATTTTTTTGATTCATTGTTTTTATTTTATTAAAAATATGTATAAATAATTTAATTTAATTAAAATATTTGTTTATTTATTTAAAATCTATTAATTGATAGTTTGCAAAACTGTTTATGATTTCCAAAAGGCCAAGGTAGTCTGGATTTTATATAATTACAGTATTATTATTATTAAAATTAAGTTATTTTCGTATTACCATAGCAATAAATTCTTAATTGAATTATATTATAATTCCAATGAGTTATTTTAATGTTTTATTTAAAGTTTATTTAATTTACTTAAATACAGAAAAAATTTATTGATACAGAAAAAAATCATAATCATTTATAGAAAGTCAATTATTTTGAAATATTAAAATTTTTCGTCTTGATCAAAAACTTAAAACAAAACTAATGTGTTTGTCTAATGTTAAATATTAATTTATTTATTTATACACATTTATTAATAATTATTTATAAAATGTGAGTTAAATTATTCAAAACAACTAATAATAACATTGTTAAATAATAGCAAATATAATTGATAACTTTTGTGGGCAATAATCATTGATTGACTAACAGAAGCATAAATTAAATGGAAAATAATTTCCGAACATTTGAATTGAGAGAACATTTTCCGGCAATTATTTCATACATTTAGAGATGCGGTTAAGAATAGAGAGGCGACGGAGGAGTCGGTGCTGAGAGAGAGTGAGAGGAAATGCTCGGCAGAGAGAGTGGAGACATGAATGAGAGCTCATATCCTGTTCACGAGTTGGCAATTCAGTTGCCGTTTAGGGCGGAGAGAAGGCATTCATCAATCACTGAAAACGAGTCAAAAATCGATACCATCTCTGCATAAAATATGCAGTAATACGCCCTTTGGGTTCTCCAGACCCAGCACTGACAGGAGCTTAGAGTGAAATACACTGAAAACACATTTCTATTTCCAGATAACATTGCATTCAATAATGGATTTGGTATTTGAGACAACTTTTAGCAGAACTGTTCGATACCTGCAATACAATCGAAATATTAGTGCGAAACCAAGTCTTACATAAATCCCACCTCTTATTAGTTTGTGTCCAACACATCGTGTTTTGATTTTACAGCTGTATATAACTTAATATAACAGATCCGCACATTGCATGCCTGCCTGTGCTCTCTATCCGTGCAAATCTGTTGGAGAGTTGGGGGGCTGTTGTAGAGCTGTTGTAACTCTTTTGTAGTTTTACTGCTCAAACAGTTTAGAGGATGTGGCGACTAATCTGATGACTAACCCGGTATCTAATGCACAGCAATGTAGAGCTGGTGGAGCACACTATACATGAAAGTGAATTATTGGATACGAGACGCTCACTACTGGGCTCTCGTCATATTGGCTGTACTCGCGGCGAGGACTGGTCTGTCATACAAATGTCTGTCCCTCTGATGTCTGTCCCTCTGTTCGGAACCGGAATTCACATTTTGACACTTGTATGACAACGTCGAGCACTGTTATTGTGGTTGAGTTACATTAATACCAAACATAACTATACTCTACACGTGCTAACGGTGTTCAGCACTTCCACACCACAGCCACACCACTCAGACTGCACTCACTCCTCAAAGACACTAATCTCAGAGTTAGTCTAATATTATATCAATGCTATGAATGACTGGTCTTTTGCTAATATATGACTCGTTTGACAACTTTATTAATGTCATCACTCATGAAGTCATTTATTAATAATTGAATCCAACATCACTTCTAATCCACTAATACTCGTCAACACAAATATTTGCTGTTTTTGTCAATTAAATAATTTTTAATACGCGAACATAAGTATGTCTTACCCGGGATTTGCTGGATATCATTGTCATCCGCCACAACTGTCAACTCAGGTAACGACTTGTTTTACTAAATAACTATTTCTATCAATATGATTACATTAGTATGTGGTTTGATGCTTATATTATACTGTATGCAAAGCTGTGTCTAAAATGAATCGAAAGATAAATTAGATTTAAATGTTAGTGAAGTTGAGTCCTCTTTCTCTATGCTCTCAATACTCGATAACATTATAAAGAGAGCAATGAGTGTATGAATAGAGCGATGAGAATAACTGATTGATTGGATCTCTTTTAGTAAATTCCCGACTAATTGAATGATTGAAAGCAAATCTATTGTAAGCTTTAAATAGCAGTTATCTATTTCATGGCTCACATTAATCATATACTTCTCACTGATACTAACATTGAAAGTTGAGGTCAGAGGGGACGACACAATAGATGATTGCATATGAATGCAAAGGTTTACTTGATTTGCATTTGAGAACAGATTTTGCGCTGAATTAAAGCTAAACCTAATATAAATTCAAAGCTAAACAATAAGCAGCGAATGTATAAAATCTAGTTTTGTTTTAAATTGGTTTCTCTATTCCGATGTCACTGTTTGTTTGCAATGAAACTCAATAGTCATAGCTATGAGAGCACCAGATGTCTGATCCACCACTCGGTTGTGCCATACATTTGAATGATTGCATTCATTGGCACTGTCTTTACAAACCAAGTGATCACTAATTGTGTTTCATTGACCACAACTTCACAACCTCTTTGTTGCCAACATAGCTCTCATTGATGACATCCAACTCAAACAACTCGACCGCAGACTCTCCCTGTTGTTCGTCAACCGGAGGCACCGATAGTCGCAATCATACGACTAATGCCACAAATAATACAAATATGAACTTAAATTCAAACGATGAGACCAACCATTTGCAGCCAACTGTCCAACAGTCCAATACTCCGTTATCTCCATCCACTTCATCAGTCTGTGCGCTAACCACTCCTTACGACTCGCGACTCATATCAGGCTATCCCAGACTCGGAGGCTTTTATGGCTCCTCTTATTCCGAACAGAACTCCTTTTATACCTCCGGAACCAATCCTTTCTACTCTTCGTTTGTGAGTATTTTTTGTAAGATTTTGAGTATTAAANTACGACTCGCGACTCATATCAGGCTATCCCAGACTCGGAGGCTTTTATGGCTCCTCTTATTCCGAACAGAACTCCTTTTATACCTCCGGAACCAATCCTTTCTACTCTTCGTTTGTGAGTATTTTTTGTAAGATTTTGAGTATTAAAACAGAAAATAATCAAAAATGAAATAATTTAGGGAAACCCCTATGACTTAAAAGACCAGAACGGGAACGGGTGGGGAGCGTTGCCTCAAACCACGTGCTATCCCTATGAGCCTACAATATACAGCCCGTACGGGGAAAGGTATAATGCAATGGACAGCGCGACCAGACGTAAGAACGCCACCCGAGAGACGACTAATACACTGAAAGCCTGGCTCTACGAACACCGCAAGAATCCCTATCCCACGAAAGGCGAGAAAATAATGCTCGCAATCATCACGAAAATGACATTAACTCAAGTAAATAAAAATGCATTTATACTGTATTTGATAATTGAGTGAATGTGTATCTATTAATGCAATAATAAATGACTGGTTAGGTCTCGACGTGGTTTGCAAACGCTCGAAGACGTCTGAAAAAGGAGAATAAGATGACGTGGGAGCCCAGGAATAAGAGCACTGATGGACACGACTCGGATGATAAAGACTCGTGCAGAGGAGACACTGACGACAATTCATCAAATATTGCTGATAACCAGTGTCTCAATGGCGGCAATAAGCTATCCGTTAAGAAAGAATCAGATTCTGTGTCTGAAAAGTCTAATACAGGTCTGAAAGCACTGACTGCCAGACAAACAGATTCGGGTGAGTTTTCAAACACTTTTATTAATTGTTTAGCTTTTTTCATGCGATAAGGTTTTTGAAATTAATGAAAGTTTAAAAGCGAAATTTAAATATTAATTATGTGTTTGGCGACTTTTATTTGCGTGACTATTGATTAATGAATTTATTTATAAGTTTAACTCAATATTTTTGATAATAAATTTATATTATCTTAGAATCTTATGAATAAAACATTAAACAAAAATGATCTCAATTTGAGTTTATATTTAATACATGAAACGTAAGTTATTTTACAGAATAATTCATTTGAGATAACAAGCAATAAATATCAGTTTGATTTGCAAAAGACATTAAAGTCAAGGGAATTAAACAGTTTTTGTATTACAAGAATAAAAATAAATAAAAAATTAGTTTAGGTTTTAGAGTAACATAATTGTTGGCTTTGAGAAAGGGTAGTGAAAGGGAAAGGGATTACAGTTATTGTGCTGTGGATGGGAAGCTCGTCTTAATAAATAGCTATCCATTTGTGTGAACACATAGTCGTGTGATTCGAGAGCTACGAGTGCTGTGAGTGAAGAGTTAAGAGCAGAAACTGATGTCTCTTTCATTAGCGATGAATTTGAATGATATAAACCCTAAATGGCATAAAAGGCACAACAAATCCAATATATAGTGTTAGGGTTTACCGAAACCATTGAAACCATTTATTCTAATTACCTCGACTCACAACGACTTGAAAATACTTTAACAGACGAGTGAATACACATTACAAATAGGATTGCAAAGAGAAAACCATTAGTTTTTTGGAGTGCACTCAACCACTATATCACTCCATCTCCACCGCTATATCTATGCGTATAAATGAGTGCAACTAATGTAGCGATACATTAGTAATGTCTAAATTCTTAAACAGATTCTGCAAACCCTTACCCAACATCTAAAGACACTATTGTAGAAAAAAGTCATTCCGAGCACATCCATAATGGACACGACTCTAAGCCTATTCTCGAGCATCAAATAAATAACAATTGCAGAGCACAGTTAGCTGTAAGTCATCATCATATTAAACACGATTCTGCACCAAATATGTTGGACAGTATGACTAACATTGAATCCATAGGCCAGAGGTATGGCAAACATAGCATATGAGTACAACAATAAGTCATTTATCTCATTATCCCATCAATAGACCAAAGATATGGTCATTGGCCCAAACGGCCACATCTCACAGTCCACCATATAATGAGCGCAAAGTGGGTGCGCTCACCCCCACTGACTGGGCACCGACATTGCCTCCGGGACCGGATGCGCCCATTGCTCCCCTTTCGCTATCTGATTATCAGAGAGATTGTCCGCAGGGATCGAGATTCACGACAACTAATTTGCGCAAATGTGGACAGACGTGGCCCGAAGACCACTACATCACTAACTTAAGCACCGCTCGTTCCGCTGCCATTCAACTCTTCAGCTCCGACCCCATCGGTCCTCATAATTATTTCAATAGTCAACCAAAGACAGGCATCAGTGGTCCTATTCCTGGTAATGGTGGTCATCACCCACACCTCCAATTGCCGACACCTGTCCCTCATTTAGTGCACACTAACGCCGACCCCTTTAACAACCCATATAATGGCATTCGTCCGGTCATTGATTCACAATTATCTCATAATAGTATGACTGATATTAATGAAAATCGTTTGTCTAACGGATCCATTTCCAAATCAAATACATTCCTCTGTAAAGTGTTTCCTGAATACATATCTTCAGGACCCGATGCCCTCTCCCTAAACGATAATAACAGTGAGAGGGGCGGCTCGACGCTCAGCATTGAGGACTCGTCTCTGTCGTCCTCCTCGTCACCAAATCTTGACTCACAAAATCTCAACTCAAGACATATTAATGGATCAAATTCTTTAGGCTTTTCAGTCTTCAGACCGATGTTGAAGAGATAGTAAAGCCTATATTATTATCACCAAAAAAACATGACTTTTGACTCTGAGTTTGGCTTATGATTAGTGTTGCAATGAATATAATTTGAGCACAAATTCTCAAAAATATTATTCATTCTAAGCTTTCAATACAAGAATTTACTAATAATAATATGATTTTCAGATGATTATCGATTCCTGATTATTGATATTGCTAATATTTTCTATTTTAAAAATATTACAATTAATTTTTATTATAGATATTTCATAAAAATTGTACAAATACTCTTAAAATATAAATTTGTGTTAATTTGTTTTGTTATTCATAACATTCTAGAATTTATTTTATTTCATTTTATGTAGAACTTTGTAAATATTGTCAAAATATATAATATTATAAATATAAATTATATAATTATTGTAAATTAAAAACATTGTAAATTAAGTTTTTAAGTATAAGGGTAGTAAAATTTCATTTTATTATTGCAACAAAGACTAAAAACATGTGAAATATTTAATTTTAATTAAAATTAATGAATCTGAAAAATATACGAAAACAAATAAAAATCAAATGTTAGTTCCGGAGATAATGCAATAAAAATAGTACAATAGGTTTGTCTGTATTGATATCGACTGTATATTTATATTAAGTTTTGTTGAGTGATTTTTATTGCAAACTTATTTACAGATTTTGATGCAAAACTCATCTAAAGTAGTGATAGATTGGGTCTCACTTCACAGGCAGAGTATTGTCTATTTTATATATTATACATATAGTAGAGTATAGTATGAGTTGTGAGGGATTTATTGTCGAATAGTATGTAAATATGTGTATAGTTTTGGTCGATTGTGCATCAAATGCAATGCAATGCCATTTCAATATCATGCAAATTAAGTGCTGTATTGTTAAGTATTATGCTATAAGTACTACCAGTGCTTACCATAAGTTTTGTTTAGCAAAGGAAATGACACAGAATTTTGTAGAACAATATGCGTTATGACAAGAATATTACCCAAAGAATACTATTAGAGAAAGAGCTGATCCAATGCCGACTCAAATCAAACCACTTGTTCTGATGTTCACTCATAAGAGTATAATGTATTGGAGTCTAGACCCAGTCACTCATAGCACCGGCAGTCATCATGAATGCATCATTTTAGCATTATTTTGGACCATAACTTATTCCTAATATTCTCAATATTAATGTTATGCCAATCTCTGCGTGAAAAGAGTTTGCCTTTCATTCCCAGATGTGCTTTCAAAATATGCCGTATATTCACTATATTCACTATATTCTGTATATTCGACTTTAGGATACCGTTCCACTATTTCCAGACCACTCCTTATATTCTTATTTTACTTTTATTTATGAATACGGCTTTACGTCCTTTGGATACGATATGCAGGGGTTCTCTCATTCAGTGCCTTCACTGCCACTCAAATACTATGAAAAACTCAAAAAAGAGAGAATCGACTGAAATTGAGTGAAACTGACGAGAATTTCACACAAATAGCCTTACGATAGTATAGATCGAGTTTGATACCATTACTACAGCCTTAGTGCAGGTGCTTTGAGCTCATATAGCCGTTCAATTGGCTTTTTGGACAATTCTCTCACTCACTCTATTGAGAACTACTTACTAAATAAAGACCAAAAGAAATGCACTGAATATAGCTGTCCGTGCATTCACTGAACAGCTATTGTCAAACTGTGAAGCATCCATACACCACATCGTTGTCCTCACATCTCAATGACTGACACATTGGGTGGCATTTCCATCAATTCCATCAGTTATCAAATGATTGTCACTTCATGAATCAATTCAAGTGCACATTCACTTGTATTCAAATTTTGCATTTAATTAAAACGCCTAATCAAATGTAATGATATGTGAATTTTGATTACATTTATTAAACCCTTAGATATGAATCCCTAATAAATGAATGTTTGCAATGAATGCGGGAAATGGTTGGACGCGTGCCGTCAAATCTATAGCCATGTAATTCATTGTGGTTTTAGTGAATAGTATGGTGTTTGGGATGAAATGTTGAGACAGAAAGCACAGGCAGTGTGTGCTATGCGTTGCTATTATTGTATATTAGCTGTTATGAGGCAATGTGTGTACCGATAATGCCTTAGTGTTTGTTGCAAAACAGTAGGAGATCCACAGCTTCAATATGGTTGTCACACACTATTGCCAGTATCGGCAGTATTGGCACCGTTGGTATAGCCATAGTGTGGATATCGGGTCCTCATATTTCATTAAATGGGCGGTTGGCAGCTGACGCATCCCTCGCACACAAGTCCTTTCATAACTGTGACTTAGATTGCAATCGGCATACAGTCATACAGTCAGTCAATAGTCTTTCTCAGCCTCCAGTCCCTCCGCTCTCACTCGGGCGCTAACTGTGTGTTCATCTCATTCCCCATCATTTGCTCACTTTTCTCTCTCTCTCTCTCTCTCTCTCTCTCTCTCTCTCTCTCTAATACCCGAAACTGACTCTCACTTTGATGTGACAGTTATTAAAAGGCGATATATCTGTAGTGAGAGTGAGGGCATATACATCAAGAGCACACGTCTGACCGTCATATGCACTCTACTTCTACTCTCACTTTCTATAGTCTCCAGACGTATGCATTAGGACAGGCATGCAGTTGTATGCGAGCTAATTGTTACCACATTTTCTCCCTTCAAATAATAATAACCTAATCATTAATGAGGCAAATATACACAGAATGGCATTCAATTGGCTTTTCCACTACGATATGATATGCTCTCTCTTTTACTGCTAAGTGGAACGGTATTACATTACACGTACTCATAATAATAGGCTAATGCCTATACAATAGTCTAATACTGTTTCATCATTCGCTTTGTTGGCTTTATGTGACATTTTGATCTGATAAACACTATAAGATTGATTGCACTTCTATTACATCCAGAGATAACACAAACAACTCATACATTGAGAACACTATTCCTCTATCAGTTTCGGTGGTTTTACTCCAGAGTAATACTAATTAATGCTTTTGCATCCCATTCCTCACTCTAATCTACTGTCCTGTGAAAGCATACTTTCGTGCAATACAGGTAAGGCTATACGGCGTCGACTGGTTTAACATTTAAATTAGTTTAACTAATAAATTATACGTTTCTTATTCATTGACACATTAATTGCAGTTTTCAATTATGATTACACTTAAATTAATTTAGGATACAATTTAGACAAAAATATAGCCAAATAAATGAAATAACAGTTTTTATATATGGCATAGAAGTGGCAAAAGTTTTTATACTTTAGTTTTTATACTAAATGAAATGATGGATGAATTTGAGTTGAATGTGATTTTGTAGCAAATATTTGAGATGTGATTCAAACACGACATGCAATAGTGATAGCAATAGAGTAATAGGTTTGTAACGATTCAAATACTATGTATAGAGACGTGTCGTGAAGGCATTAGAGGAGAGCTTTTTGTCTGATTGCGAGTCAGCATTAGGTGTACAGTAGTGTATGTAGGTGCGAATGTTTGAGAAATGCTATTTTGCTTGTTATATGTCTTTGACGACTAGTTTCTAGTTTTAGTACTCAAAGCAAATGTTAGAGTAGTATAGACGACGACATTCAACACATGTCGACAGTTCTCAAAATTACCTAAACCTCTAAACATCATCGCCAAAAACAAGTAGAAATATTAGAAAGAGATGCCCTAACCTATAGTGAAAATCCATGTTAAGCTCGAAACCCACGAGAGCAGGGCTTCCATATGAGACAACGTGTCCAACTGAGCACCAGAACATAGAAAATGCATTAAACCAACCATCAGCCCAATGCACGTACAATGCATACAACTCTGTATTCGCTATATATATGTGTGTGAGTGAGTGCTAGTGAGTGTCAGTGTGTGTGAGTGTATGTCTGCTTACAGTGCCTTACAGTTCAACACAAGTAAAACAGAGTTGTAGACCATTTTCAATAGCTATGAGAGAGTATACGACAAGAGTACCGGCAATATCGCTAACGAGAGAGAGAGAGAGAGAGAGAGAGAGAGAGATGCTTGGAGTGATTTTAAGCACAACTTATGCCAACTTTGTTTACGAACAAAACTCTTCAAATGCACACCACTTCTAATCACTATCACTATCGCTTCTTTGATTCAAAAAACATTTTAATGAAAGTTGTTTAAGAATTAAAAGCTTATTATTTTATGAAAATTCTGTTTTTCTTTGTTTTATAATTTTATCATATATTCATAGAGTTTATGGAAAACATTATTGTTATTGAATCCTAACATATTATGCAATAAAGATAATACAATAACTGCGATAACCATTACATGAATGATAAATGATAGCTAAATAAGTTCAAGCAGCTTTTGATGAGGTTAGTTAGTGTAGGGGTGCCCTCCTGTGCCCTCTAATGCCCTGCACTGGTCGTTGTCTCTTAGTTGGCATTCTTTATCATTTCCCAATGGATTGGCGAACAGATCCGATGGTTCGTTGTATTGGAAGAATGATTGAGATGTGCTATAAAAAGGTACTCTTCGATTGCCTACCAGTGCCTCATGTAAGCCATGGATATATCGCTACCATTATTGACGTGCCATCACTTTAATTCTGTTCACTTGCTAAGTGTTCGTCTCTATGTGTTTAAGTATGAAATGATGAAGTGATCCATTGATGGAGTCGTTCAGTCGTACAGTCAGGTGGGAGAGGATCGAGAGGTGGAGAGCACTGCTA